ATATATGTATATCCATTCACATATATATTGATACACATACAGATTTTTTTTTTCTTTTTTAAATGAATGACCAGAGACTATTATACGAGTCTCCAACCATATTTAATGTGTCTAACAATTTGAGTACCGCCTCCTTAAGTCCAACTGTGCCAGAAAGGATTCAAACCTCCGATCTGAGGGGTCTTATACCGTGGATGCCGACCAACTGGCCGGGATATGCAGCACATATATATAAGAAAAAAGAAAAAAATTACATGCTATAATAAAAAAGAAAATTAAGCTATAAGAACGATATTTACATTAATATCCCTAAGACAATGACGGCCAATTTAAAATTTACCCAGCTGTATCCATCACCACAATAAACAAAATCAAACGGTTGCATTCACTTCAATCACCCTCTACACACCGAAGATATTCTTCGATTTTCCTGACGCAAAAATATTTACAGCTACGACATAAATATACACATTTCCATAAAAATAGCTGGCACGGCTCTACACCATCTCCCATCAAGCTTAATAGCTTCCTCACTAGAAAAGTAAACCAAACCAATAAAATAAAATCGCAATTATTAAAAAGATTCGATGCATTTAAATAATTGCCATGGAAAAGCTACCTCTACAATCAATATCAATAATTACTTCATTAATATTACAACTATTTAGAATTAGACTTCGGAGTTGGGCGGGCAGCATGTCGGGCTCGTCATAAACCCGCTTATGACGCAGAGCTGTATCCGGACAATGGACATGATACAGCGGGACGGAGAGGGAGCTCGGACCTTTGCTGTGTATCACGTCGTAGACATAATATTTTCTCAACTTCTGAGGTTGCTTCTTAGTCTCCAATGGCAATGGTTTCCCCCTTGCTTCTGTCTCGGCAGTCTTTTTCTTGCTTTTTCTATTGCGTTTTGCTCACCTTAATTAATTTCCAGGAATCTATTCGGATGCTGGAGAAGACGAAGAAAGGATAATCTTTGAGTGCTCTGTTTAGAAAAGCACAGCACCTGCTTCTCCATGTTCAGTAAAGTAGAAGGAAAGTTTTCTTTTTTACTGTTTCGAATGGATTATTCCTGAATCATGTGATGATTAGAGAGGTTTATTTGTCTCTATTTCTATAACAAAATGAATTTTCTTTATGGGCCAAGCCGACCCGGCCCGACACTTAGTATGGGCGGGTTTGGCTGAGCTTTTTGACAAGCTGGGCAGAAGCCCGGCCCGTGTTTACTTTGACTAGCCAAAGCCCATACAAGCCCGACTATTTAGAACCCAAGAAAAAAAAAGAGGCATTTCCATAGATATCACTCAATTCTTATGTATTTACGTGTCAAACATCTAAATTTTGTCTTTAACATTTATACCACCCGAAAAATCTTTCAGATCACAACAAAAATATCGTCATTTTATAATTTTCTAAAAGTGAAATTAATATATCTTTCTATGCATAGATAAGATGGCATTAACAATAGAGGACCAGATTATGTTCAAAGTGAGCAAGCAAACGTCGCCTCTTATTGATTTTCTTGAAGTACCAAACTATTGAGAATTTGAAAAAATGAGAAATATGGGCATGAATTTTGATATTTGAGTGAGAATTTGAATAATAGATGAAGAAAGAGGGCGCTTGATTTGTAAATAGTAAGTTTCCGACGATTTGAATGTAATTACGTCCCAAAAAATTCTAAACATTAAGTGATTTATAAAATAATGTTGGTTGTGCCCCTGAATTGGCATACACATGTAATAAGAACTAAAGTATAGAGGTTAGGCATGCAAATACATAGGAATTGAGGGGCATATATGTAAAAAAAAAGAAAGAAGATAAAAAAGAAGGGGGGTGGGATTAAATTCTCCTCTCACCAAAAGTTGGAAGCTAGCATGAAGCCGCCATTGAATGCAAATATAAATGTGGGATTGAAAGCTCATGAGAAAGAGAAGTTGGAGTGTTGTACAATTAATACAAAGAGAAATAAATTAATCTCCACCATCATTAAATCCTTGCCTATCTCTTAATGGGGGGGGGGAGCTGAGGACTGGGGAGGCTCATAAAAGATGGGCACATGATGGCGTAGTAGCACCGAATGCACAAATAATAACACCCCTTGCCAAGATGTATTAATACAATATTAAACCATATCCCCACATTAACTCTACCAGAGTGCTCGAGTAATGAGGAACCTCCCAAGTCAAAACTATTTATATAAGTTGTCCAAAAATTTAAATTAAAGCTTCACATTAATCTCTTCATGCCTTCAATGCTATTGTGGAGTCGTGATGAGTGGTGGAGAGGTTTTTGAGTTTTGTTGGCTCAAATTAAAATTAGGACATGAGGTAATCACCACCACCCTAAGGGGTAAAAAAAAAAAATTTTTTTTTTTGGGAAAATTACATATATATCACTTAGTTTTTATGTATTTACATATCTGAACTTTAATTTTTACGTGCTTGTGTGTGTTTGTATGTCTTATTTGTGCATGAAAATGTGTATTTCACTTTTTAAAAGTTAAAAAGGTGATAATTCTTATGTGATATGCAATATTTGAATGGTACGAATGTAAAAAAAACAAAGAATATGTGTTGGTATGTAAATACAAAAGAATTGGGTGGAATGTACCTAAATTGACTTTTATGTTTTTTTTTTTTTTTTTAAGTTTTATTTTTAGGTGGATATTGCTAGAAAATATCAAAAATATAAAGGGTAATTGATTTTTGACCTTTAGGCAAGCGGACTAACATGTAAGATTTTATCAGCAAAATTATGTTTTGGAAGGGTTGTTAATGATAAAAATGGAAGGAATGAGGCATCACTTATTTAACCTAACCCCAACTCAATAGCAAATTATGAATAGGACTATGTTAATTCAGATGTAATTTCGTCAATTTACTGTAATAAATAGGCCCAAAAATGTATTTAATGATAGTTAAAATATTGCATGGTGACAATGAAATAGCATGTAAACTCCTACTTTATCATCTTGCATTGGAAAAATATTAGGTGAAGAGCACCAAACTTATTTGATTGACGTGAATAATTTAAACAATAATGAGAATATGATAACATTTAATCACAAATGTAATATATGTCTCCAAACAACTTATCTTGTCTTATTAAAATGTTTTTTTTTAAAATTTTTTTGGCTGAAGATGATCACACCTTCCTTGTTTACCTTCTTAATTCAAACAACTAAAACGTGGAGTCCATGAAATCAAATACATGCAAGATGTGCCTAAACTATCTCTTAAAAGATATCCATTAACTTGTAGATAATCAAATAAACAAAATAAAATTATCCCTTAATTTTCTACAAGATGTGGGGTGTAATATCAAATAGTTTCAAGATTGTAGCGAACAAGCAATTTCTTAAAATGTTATAGCGAGAAAAATCAGAAAGAGCTTCCCAGTACAAAAATTTCTAGAAAACAATTCCCCAAATGAAATTGTGATGAACGTGTGAAGCACAGAACAGACAAAAAACCATCCTAAACACGCCTAATGAGCGTCTTGAAAGTGAAAGACGTTGAAGAAAGATAGAATGATTTCCATAAGTAAGATTTTTAGGCCCTAAAGTCTAGGGGACTGCAAAGATGTAATTATCTTTAATTTGACAGAATCGTCCTTCAATGGATCAAAACCGAAGGGAAAAACATTAATGCGAGCTTATCATACAATAACTAAGATGAAACAAACTGTGTTTTGAAGCTGCTCGTCTCGCATCTTGCAATAAATTGGAAGTAAATAATCATTTCCTAAAATTAGCATGCTTTTAAAACATTATTTTCTGGTATTATCAGAGATGCATTTAAGGCCATTTATTTGCGGAGTTAAGAACCTTTGGGAGTCTTTGAAATTCATAAATCCTCTTGCATAATTTGCAAGCAGATAAATAAATTATTGAAAGAGACGAAACAATGTTACTGTTCATATAAAAAAATGGGGGGAAAAAATCCATCATGATTAGTGATTTATGCCCACAGTATGTTACAATATCATTACTTTATAAAATTAAGGAAATATATGTGTATTTAGTGGATCTAAATATATAAATTATTTTTTTTAAGGAAGCCATCAAGTTCATGTCAACCCTCTTATCTCTTTATCTATTTACCTAACAAAATGTCAAAATAAATATAATATAATTCTCATTAGAGTTTGGGGAAATTTGTAAAAAGAAAAAAAAAACAAGGGGGGTGGAATAAAATAAGAAACAATCCTCACAAAATCAAGGCTGACTTACTGAACAACATTTATACATCAATTAAAACCTAGGGGTAAATACTATTAATGGAACAGCTTGCATCTTTCGATGCATCAGTCCTGGTAGGAAACAATTCCGGATTTTAATTTTTTTTTTTTTTAATTTTTCAAGACCATTTCTTTCTGTGGTTTTATACAAAACTAATTACATCTGGGGCCAAAAAAAAAAAAAATATTAAAATCATTAAATTAAAAGAAGAGAATTTTACATAAACACCACACAATTCTGATGTATTTGCATATCTAACACCTAAAATTTGATATTTAGTTACCTTTAGAACACTTCGGTGTCATGAACATATGCAATGAAACTGTATGCTTCAGTTTTAAAAAAGATAATAAAAGCAATAATTTTCATGGAATATTAAAGATTTGAGGATTATGTGGTATGTCATTATACATTCCAGTTATCAAACAATTGCCAAGTGAATAATTTAAGCAAGCATTTCTCAAGCATACGACCCCACCTCAACTCACATCATATCTCTATGATATCCCCCGCTTAAAATACCCTAATAATGAGTCCTTAATCCCTAAAAAATAATCAGAAACAGGGGTCTGACTAAAGCGCAAGGCCGGAGATGGAGATTTAATTAATTTTTTTTTTTGCTGTATGTCATAAAATTAAGTTAATATTTTCCTCACAACCATATTTCACCGACTAAAGCTGCAATAAATGGAACCAGAAGTCTCAGTAATATAATTGCGTAACATTAAAGCAATTTATTTATGGGTGTGTATTCGTTTTTCGATGACGTATTTGCTGAAAAATCTCATCTACAGCACTAATCATAAATAAACAACTCCAGGACTAAATTGTAATCAAATCCATTCAATCTTGAGCCTCCACAAGCCCCCTTCCAGACTAAATAGAATAAGGTTTTGTGTATAAAAATAGAGTTGGAAGAGACGAAAGAAAGAGAAGGGAAGAGTATTTATTCTGTGCTGTGCATTAAAGAAAAAGTTGAGGCCTGCATTAGTCCGCAGCCTGAAATCTTTATATAATGTCACAGGAGGCTCTCAACTTTCACATCCCACATCAGGAAACACACGTTCTTCTTCTCTCCTCAGCTGCCACCTCCCTCCGGCAAAGCTCCGCCACCTCCGGCGGCCTTAAAGAGCTGGGAGATATTCCTTAAGGTATCTACTTATCCCTCTATTTGTATTTGTATGCGTCACTGGACCACTTCTGTATTGATTTAGACATCATCAATAGCATCTGGTACAGAAGAGGAGAGATGAGCAGAAGCGGAAAGAGCCCGAGGTTGGACCTGAAGCTGAACCTCTCACTACCAAGGAGAGGGAACACATCAAGGATGGCTGCTGATAACAGAAGCTCGGATGGCTCGCAGAGTGGTTCGCCTCTGTCGACATCGCCTCCGAGCTCATGCGTGTCGTCGGAGGGGGAACAAGGGCTCAGGTGTTCGAATAGCCCTGAAGCTACTTCGATGGTTCTCGCCGGCTGCCCTCGATGCCTTATGTATGTCATGCTATCAGAGGATGATCCAAAGTGTCCAAAGTGTAAGAGCACCGTCCTCCTTGACTTCCTTCATGACAGCACAAACAACAAGATAAACAGGAAGCGTTAAGAATGTTGTGATTCATGTAGTTTCTGCAGCTCTTGCTGAATCCACCAAATCCAGCCATTTTAGCCATAGATTTCGCTGTTTTGTTCTTCTTAATCTTCTAGTTTTTCATCTTATTAGTATAGCTTCTTCGTCTTTCTCTATTTTGTTGTGTTCCACCTACGTATCACCCTTTGTACTCAAGGTAATGTAAACTGGACAATTCTAAACAAGCCCAAATTCTCCAGTTATCATATACATAGAAATTTCTGTCTTATTTCATTCCTACTCTAATTCAGAATTCTCTCAAATATGTACCAAGTATTTTGTATGAATTATTGGAAATGGCACAGCAGTTCAGTAAGTTGTGAACAATGAAAGGGTAGGCTAGTTTTTAATTGGAGTTAATAACAATAAAAACTCAATTGAATGCGAGAGTAAGTGAGGCAGTTAAGAATAATGAGGGATTACGACAGATGATAAATAGCTTTTTAAGTGCTACTTAAAAAAACATGGAAATACTAAATGCAAAGGAATCATTGCTTCGCCTTCAACTTGGACTTCAAACTACACCGTTTATGCTATGCCAAGCTCAATGAAAAGAAATACAAGAGAGAAAGTTCCATAGTTTTGCAACCTGAGACATATTTCCTAGTAAAATGTTTGAAATACCATGTAGTTTACATTTAAAATGAATAAGTAAGGTGATTTTATGTCTTTTTGTTTAATTATTTACATCTAGTATACAGTTAAAGTTGTTTGTACGCATGACTAATAATATCCTCAGTAGGAGTACACGATGGGTAAAACCTTCTGGTAGCCATGCAAACATTTCAGTGTTGCTACCGTTCAATGTTTGGAATGTTTAAGCTTTGAATAACAACGCTCTACTTATCAGAAACAAAATAGAAGTAAAGAATTAAACAAATGAAATGAAACTTAACCAATTCCTAGGTTGACCATGTATCCGCAATCTTTCATTTTAGCTTTGTAAGCATTTTTCAATTTCATTCTGTCATGTATTACATCTCCTTGCGTACTTTAAAAATACCTTCAAAATCTCTTCTAAGTTTATTTTATTTGGCCCTGATAACGTCAATTGAAAACAAGAAAATTTAAATTTAAAAAAAAAGAATCTTTCTACAAGCCACCAAAATGAAGCCTTTACTGATCACATAGCAATTTTTCTTTTAAATTTTATTAACTAAACTGGCTGACAACCACAAAACTCTTTCAATAAGCTTGTTCAAAAGAAGTCATACTGATAAATCACTTTCAAAGTCAACCACAGTGTCCCCCACCCACCCCTTCCAAATCCAGCTGTCCACCCTTGCAATCTCCATCTAATAGACCCACATTAGATTCCACACCAACCTATCACAAAAACTATACCTTTTTCCTGTTCCCCAGACCCCTCTCAGGACAAATATTGGCTATACTGCTTAAAAGTACAACCATCACTATCAAGACATTCATGGTCCAGCCTCCTCACATCCCCACATCTCATAAGACGTCCTATTTTCTTTTTTCCGGACAATTAGAGCACCTACATGCAAAAAACCAAGGGAACTAATATAATATATTGAGGTTGTTGGATGGAAAGGCAATGTTTTATATGATGTTTACGAAACCTGTTGGGAACAAAAGAATCAGCAACTCCCTCCAAACTAGAGAGATGGCAGACGTGTGACAGGCTGAAGTATTTATCTAAAGGAGAACAATAGAAATTACATGCATATCACCCAATTCTTATATATTTACATATCAAACAACTAAATTATACCTTTTACATATACACCAACAAGATGTTTCATATCAACTCAAAAGTGTCACTATTTTAACATTACAAAATTGAAACACACTTTTTCATGTATAGATAAGGTCTGGCAAATCGGCAAAAATTGAAATATAGGTGTTAAAAATGTAATTACATGAGAATTTAGTGGTATGTTTGTAAATCTTACAAAACAATAACACAAGGTCAGGTCATCATTTGTCCAAATAAGTCAAAAAAATTAAAATAGAGCTGCAAGCTGTACTGAAGAATCTCACCTCGCACTTGATGGAGCTTTGAGGAGTATTTGATAAACATTTCATTGCTTTCTAGATGATTAAGAAATGATAAATGAGCAAATAGATAATCAATTTAAAATAAGCAACAGATTATAAGCAACAGATTAAACAATAATAATTTTTTTTTTTTTTAAGAAAGCTCGTAAGGCAAAATATTGATCATAGCAGAATTCACACTTCAAGGAATTCAGTAGTCAATAAACAAGAGTGTATAGACTAAATACCAGGCAGATGAATTTGGCTTCAGCTACATCAATTCTGGAGATTATTTTAATTTAACGAGACTGGTATAGCAATCACAAATGCATATTAAAACAATGTAGCAGTAGAAATCATGACTATCCTCGTTAACATAATTCTATCCCACTTTCTTTTCAAGGCTTACAGAGTTCATAAAACATGATGCACAACAGCATGAAATTTTATATTTGCATTTTTTTCCATCTGGTAGACCGAAGTTTAGATGACAAACGATCCAAATACACTTTAAGAAGTTATAAGAATCATTTGATAAAAAATTATCACGCAATTAAATACATTATAAAGCATTACCAAAAATGCTGCCCGTGTGCACATGAAACCAATAAATTCCAGACTAAAACATAGCAGCAGAAAAACATATTGGCGCCATAAGATATTCCATATAGTTCATAAAAAAGAAGTTGCAAAGCAGAATAAGAAATTGGTAAATTTCCATACTTTTTTTATTATTTGAAATACAGTTCTTAGATTGCTATTACATGTAAAACAAATCATCCGTCAAAAGTTCATCTTGGTAATTCTTATCAAGTTAGCAAATCATCCACAGCTAATGAATCATCTGGCTCAAAACTGTACTAATCACTCCATAAACAAAATACATATCGAGAGATTTACAAATGACACTAAAACAGGTGCCCCGTCCATCCAATCAAAAATAAGAAAAAAAAAATATCTGCATGCACACCACTCAATTCTTATGTATTTACATTTCTAACATATAACATTAATTTTTACACACATACCCACCTTACCTATTGATACCAGTTGAAAGGGAAAACACAACTCACACAACACGCAAACTCGCATTAGAGCGGATCCCGGGTGATGTTGGTAATGGTTATCTGGCTTGAAGAGATGGTGGCAAGGGAAGGAGGATGTTTCCGGGCTGTGAAAGAGGGACATCGGCGATTTTGGGCGAGGTCGGCTAAGACAGCAGAGTAGCAAGGGAGGCAGTCCAAACAGAAACAGTTTGTTATTCGGGGAGGTTGGATAGCAGGAAAAGAACAAAGGGAAAGTGTTGCGTGTTGCGGCAGCGATGGTGGACAACTGAGACAGCGAAGGCAGCGAGGATGGAAGGCTGGACGGAGATGGCAGTAGGTATGGGGCTGCTGAAACGTTGTGCGCTGTCGACAACAGCAAGTGGGAGGGCTGGCGGGCTGATTCTGAAGAGGACAGCGAGGATTGTGGAAGAGAGATGACTGGAAAGAGGAGACCTGCAGAAAAAAAACAGCAATGACGACTGTACTGGGCGGCTGCAACGAGGAAAAGGTGTAGCAGCGAAGCGAGAGGTGGGAGGAAGAAAAGGCCGGGGATAAATATTCTCTCGAGAACGAGCTACAATCGGAGTATCACTCAGCCCTTGAAGAAGGTCACCATCACGGACGAGTTACAGCTGAAGCACCATCTCGTCTTCGGATACAACCCTCGAAGAGAAATACTGGATGTCAGCAGCTGTCCTAACAAAACTCTGAGCCAAACTAATAACCTAAAAACAGAAATCACATATATAAAGCCCTAAATAGCTCAGATTGAATCTCCTATCGAAAAAAGGGACCGGTTCGGTCCGGATGAAGGACATCGCGAGATAAGCCCGTGACTCCCTCTATGCCGTGCCTATATGGTCATTGCGCCCTCGCACACCTATAGATGAAAAGGCGTATTTCACTTTTAAAAAGTTAAAATGGTGGTATTTTTCATGTGATATGAAAAATTTGGCCGGTTTAGATTTAAAAAAACAAAATTTAGGTTTTAGATACGTAAATACATAGAAATTGGGTGGTATGTATGTAAATGCCCCAAAATAAAAAAACCTGAATCACAAAATTCTTTTACCATTATCTATAGCCTCAAAGTTGTTCTCATGAAATCACAATTGGCATTAACGATCATGTGGAGTTCCCATAAAAGAATCATGTCCTTTGCATAAGACTGAAATAAAATCAATTTGGGCCAATAACTTTATATCATCTGATATTCTGATTCAAACTTCCCAAATAGTTGGCACAAGGTTAATGAGGATGTTGATTATCAGCTGCTTCAAGACCATTGATAAGCTCAATCTGTAGAAACAAGTGTGAGAGTGCAGATTTCGAAACCTCTGGAAGAACAAATTGTACTAGATGCACAAACTACTAAACATGCAACATAGCGCAACAAGCCACTTCTGCAACCAATAGTCAAAGTTAATAATTTAAAGTTAATAGGAAATAACAAAATAACAGATGATTTATCAGAAAAAAACCTCACTGAATGACCATAAATTTCATTTTACATTGAGCAAGTTTCTCTCAAGCCTAAGCAGCCACATGTTTGCCTCAAACATATCCTTGAATTGTACAGTAAATAGGACTGTAAATTCTTTACCTGATAGGGTGCACCTTACAACAAAATCATATAATTTGGACGAAAAGCTATCAATGCAACTGCAATAAAATGTCCATCCTGATCATGTATTCCTTTGACGCTCTCCCCAACCACTACAGCTTCTAATGTACTTATCCACAATACCAAATTCCTTGTTTTGCTCAAGCCTTTTTGCATAATTCTCAGTGGAAATTGGTCCCCTTCTCAATCTCCGATAGTATATCATCTCCCATGGCCATAGCCGAGCAGCACCGAAGTAGCCCTCAACTGAAACATCTAGCTCACCCTCCTTAAGTGACGCCAATCCATTATGATGAAGTGCTGAGAGCATTTCCCTTGTTGAAAGTATTGTAGAGTCAACTGCTACTTGTTCTATCGGATTCTTCATAGGAGAACCCTGCAGAGCACTCGTCTCTGAATAATTTTCAGTAGCAGAACCAGCACCGTTGAGTGTAGTAAAGCATGCATCCGTTTTGTTATATCCAACTTTCAAATCAGTTTTATGCTCATTGAAACTATTTTTTTCATAATATTCTACATTAGATTGAGTCTTATCTCCCAATGGAGAAAATGAATTTTCATCTTTCAATGTCTTCGTTTCAGAGTTGTTCATTTTAGAGGAATGCTTGGACTCTAGGCTTTCCATGTGCTCAGAGTTGTTCTTCGGGATGGTATTTATCTGAACGTTTCTTTCTATATTCTTAGGAGAAGAAGATGACTTCCGTCCCAATGAAATAGAAAGCGACAATGACCCATACGGAGTTGACCTAGACTTTGATCTTGACAAAGATCTAGACCTTGATCTAGAACTTTTAAATTTGGCATATGATGAGACTGACATGGACCTTGACCTAGATGATGCTGGATGGGATCTAGAAGACGATGTTGATTTTGAATAAGATCTGCTACCAGAAATGGATTTTGAATGCGTCTTTCCTGAACTTGATTTAGAGGAATCGGAAGACATTGATGAAGTTTCAGATGCCTCTACTCTTCTTTTCTTCTTTGATCTTTTCTTTGATGAGTATTTATCCTTGGTTCCCTTCTTACTTTGAGACCGAGAATGCAGTTTGACTCTGGATTTTTCTCTTCTTTCTGGAGAACTTTCAGTCTTTACTGACTTACTGGAATGTGATCCCTTTCTATCCCATGCACGATGTCTTGCTACAAGCGGATCTATGCTGGTGCCTGGCCTTCCCCGTGAATTGGCTTGAAACTTTTTTCGCCTTCCTTCCACTTTATCTTTGAAACTCATTCCATCTCTCCTCCGCTCAAACTTAGTAAATCTCCCTCTCCTCCCATCTCCTTCAGGACATCTCCTTCTAATATGACCCACTTGGCCACAATTGTAACAGGCTAGATGGGGCATCGGTTTATCAAACCTTCTCTCAGCTTCCACAATGAAGTGCTCTCTATGCCCTTTCCCATGAATAGCTCTATAAGGAGAACTGTCTGAGCTGGCTCTTTGGTTGTCTTCTTTCTCATTTCTCTTGTTGTAGCCATGGTATGGTTCATATCCATCAAAATCAGAATCCTTACAGAGTCCGTGACCAGGCAACATATCATTGGCACGCTCACCCCAGCGATCATGTTCCAATGGATTGAGATCACCAGTGTCTTCATCCATCAATGGATCAGACAAATTCTCAACTCTGTTCCCTCTAACACCATCAACATCCTCCCAAGTATGTCCAGCTTCTTTATCAGGTGCACTATCAACCCGATGTCCCGCATTATAGGCTGGACTACGAATATCTATAGAAAAATCCCTTTCATCCTGCGAACTCCTAAACCCAGTAACATCACCCTCTTCTCTGAATACCCTTCTTCGATGAGGTTCATCAAATCTAGAACCCCTTGGAGGCCTTTGAAAAGGTCTTGGCTGTTTGTTTGACCAATTCAGGGATATTTGCTCACCACAAATTTGCTTGCCCCGCAGTGCTCTCAAAGCCCTTTCGGCATTTGCAGTGACTTCATACACTACAAATCCATAACCATCTTTCAACTGAAAATGGCAACGGCCAAACCTCCGGAAAACCCCTTCAAGCTCATCTTGAGAGACATGAGGTGAAAGGTGACCCACATACAATGACATTGGTTTATTATTCGAACTGAACCTAAACAAATGTACAAAAAGCAAAACATCAGAAGAAAAAGAAAAGGTTGCAAATAAAGAAATATATAAACAGCTAAATGAAAAGGGGCATTTCAATTCATATTTTACATGCATACCACTCAAATCTTTAGCATCACATAAAAAATACCACCATCACCATCTTGTTAAAAGGTGAAATACACTTTTTCATGCATAGACATATGACACCAAGGAGTGTAAATATCAAATTTTGGGTGTTAGATAAGTAAATACATAAGAACTCTGTACTATGTATGTAAATTTCCCAAACGAAAAATATAAAATAATAGAGGAATATGACAATTCATATAGAAGAGACAGATGCACCAGCATAAAGGCTCCAGACAATTGTTCCATGTAGAAAAAATAATACAAGAATGTGGCAATTAAAATTGATCAAATGTATTGTAGTTCACAGTTCAGCAATCCCAAAACAAACCCAGCCTAATGCCTTAGCGAAACAACTAGTGCAAAGAGGTTTCCAAAACACACCCACCATAGCCTAATGCTCAGTGAAACACCGAGTTGCAAAGAGCTTTCTAGCTATAAATTACAAGGTGTAAGCTCAACCAGAAGAAAGAGAGTATTGCTAGATATAGCGGGGGAAAAAATAACAATGTAAAACATTCCCACAACATTCCCAACATATCCTACGAGGAATATCCAAACATGGATTATCCTTAAAACAAATGCTCAGAAATCCATTAAACTGTAAGTATATTACAAATAAAGCTGTCAAAAGGGCTCGTTGTTCGCGAACAGCTCGTGTTCGGCAAATTAAGCAGCTCGTGTTCGGCTCGTTTGTGATACTTAACGAGCCGAACACGAACAAATTTTTAAGCTCGAAATATAAACGAGTCGAACTCAAACAAACATTTGTTCGCTCGTGTTCGGCTCGAGTTGGCTCAAAAAGAAATAAATAAATATAAATATAAATATATTTTGCGGTGTTATTGGTGTTATTTCACGGTGTAACACCGCGGAATAACACCCGAGTAACACCCGTTATGTTTCGTTCGTGGTGTTATTTTGCAGTGTAACACCGTGAAATAACATTGATAATACCAATAATACCGCCGAATAGCTCCGAATAACACCTGCGATATTATTTTGTTGTCCGCGGTGTTACTCAGATGTTATTCCGCAGTGTTATTAGTGTTATCGATATTATTCCGCGGTGTTACACCACAGAATAACACCATTAATACCGCGAAATAACGGCCCGCGCTATTTGGGTGTTACTCATGTGTTATTGTGGGTGTTACTCATGTGTTATTGCGGGTGTTATCGCTGTGTTATCGGTGTTTTTCTGTCATTCGTGGTATTATTAGCGCGATTCCGCCGCATTTTATATTCTATCGAGCCTATTTCGAACCGAACATAAACAAGAATATGTTATTCGAGTCGAACACGAACACATTGTTCATGAGCCATTTCAAACACGAACAAAATTGGAATGAGCCGAACACAAGCCGAGGCTCAGCTCGGCTCATTTACAGCCCTAGTTACAAACCATAGGCACTCCATTATTAAATCAGGCAAGGCACCCAAGCAATCCAATTGCCCCAAACACACACATGAAAATAACAAGCATACATACCACACAATTCGTATGTATTTACATATCTAATGGCTAAACTTCAATTTTTACATACATGACAAACATGAAAAGGTGCATTTCAATTTTTGAAAGTTAAAATAGTGGTATTTTTCATGTGATATGGAAGATTTGGGTGGTATGAATGTACATAGGAAAGTTCAGGTTTTGGATATGCAAATATATAAGAATTGGGTGGTCTGTATGTAAATGAGCCAAAAAAAACTAAATAAATAGCAACAAGGAACAAATAAAAAGAACAAAGTTAACTAATTACTACCAGCTGATTTCAATTTCAAACAAATGAAACTAATCTGTACTATTTGCTACTTATGTCTTGAAAAAACATCAATATTACCTCTTCAAAACATCAAACATTGAAAGACGTAGAAAGGTCATAAAATCGCATGAAATCTCCAAGAACTTGAGTGCAAGGATGCCAATATCATAGCACACAAAATAAACACCATAGGCAGCTAAATCAAAATAGTGCAATCACAAGGAAATTACTTCATTTATTAAAAAAATTTCTCGGGCGGACAAATATTTCTAATGAGAAAACTTCAATAAACAAAAATTTTCTTCAATGCTTGTCAATTTCTTCTTAATACAAACAAATGGCACTACTTGCTATTTCAAAGCAATGAATGACACCCTAGAACCTTGGGCATGTTCTATTAGCAGTTCAGCAGCGAGAATTTGGCGCCAGAGAAAGAGAGAATGTCAAATTTTATATATAATTCTAAGAGAGAACATTCCTGGGGTTTCTTAACAAGCTCTCTTAGATGCTCAAATTAGAGATCATACTAGAAAGTATAGAGAAAACTGAAAGGAGTTTGGGCAATTTTCTCTTCTCAAATCGATGTTAAGAAAGAAAATAAGCTAAATAAATATAACATTAAATAGTGGAAGGAAATTTCACGTCAAGCCAGCCCTCGCATGGGGTGTATGATGGTAGAGAAGAGAGAGAATGCCATCCCCATTTACAGAATATTGTTACTGGTTGTATCATTTGCCCTTTAGTTGTCACATCAAAGCTTCTTACGTCGGTAAATGTGTTGCACAGACATGGAAACGGGAACACGGGCAAGAATATGTGACACATCTATTATTGAAAATATAGATACTGACACGTCAATATAGTAAAAATTATTAAAATATATATATTAAAATTCAATAAAAAAATATTTAAAATACTACAAAAGAGAAAATAAAAAGATTTAATAACACTAACTTTTAAGAACTAAGAGCTCATTTAAGAGCACTTTCCGGTTTTAGTTAAAATAATTTGTATAAATATATTTTTTATATTTAAAAATAAATTAAATTGTATTTAAAAATAATCAAAATGTATAGAGAAAACTGAAAGGAGTTTGGGCAATTTTGTCTTCTCAAATCTATGTTAACAAAGAAAATAAGCTAAATAAATATAACATATAATAGTGAAAGGAAATTTCATGTCACGCCAGCCCTCACATGGGGTGTATGATGGCAGAGAATGAGAGAGAATGTCATCCCCATTTTCAGAATATTGTTACTAGTGGTATCATTTGCCCTTTAATTGTTGCATCAAAAATTCTTACTACTGCGTTGCGGGACGTTTTAAGTAAAACGCGGGGCATTTTAAGTAAAACGCGGGCCACGGGTTCGACCCTGCATCCCGCGTTTCTTATGTTACACACCTTACCGTGGGTGCCCCTCCGCGATCTCTCCCTTCGTCGTCTGCCCTAACCTTCCTCTGCGATCTCTCGCTTACTCTGTGATCTCTCATTCCTTCTATCATAATCTCTCGTTCCGGACACCGGTATCCCCTTTCCTTATCCTTTCTCACATACGTCGTTTTGGTTTCTCGTTTCTATTGGATTTTGATGTCTTTGTTGGATTATTTTAATTTCTCTGTTGATTTTTTAACGTGGTGACGGAGGAGATGGTGTTGGTGTTTCTATTTGTTGTGAATTTAAAAATAATAGGGTTTTTTGTGTTGTGTTGTTGGGTTTGTGTGGTGGTGTTGGGTTTGTTTTGTTGTGGTGTTGGATTTATTATGTTGTGGTGTTGGTCCTAAATTTGTGGTTGGCCAGTGTTGGATTGTCGTGGTGTTGTGTTGGTCAGTGTTGTTGTGTGGTGTGATGGATTGTTGTGCGGTGTGATGGATTGTTGTGCGGTGGGTGTTGTTGTATTGGTCGGTCCTGTGGGTGGTGTTGTGTTTTGTTGTGGGTGGTGTTGTTGTGTGGTGTGATGGTTTGTTGTGTTGTGGTCGTGGGTTGTGTTGTGAGTGGTGTTGTGTTGGCCAGAGTTGTGGTTTGTTGTTGGTTGTGGCTGTGGGTTGTGACTTGATGGTCAGTGTTGTGAGTTGTGTTGTGTTTGACAGTGCTGTGGATTGTGTTGTGATGGCCAGTGTTGGGTCGTGTCTGTGGTTTGATGTGTTGCTGCGTTGGCAAGTGTTGTGGTCGTGAGTTGTGTTGTGTTGGTCAGTAATGTGAGTGGTGTTGTATTGTCCAGTGTTGTGGTTTTCTGTTGGTTGTGCTGTGGGTTGTACTGTGATGGTCAGTGTTGCGGATTGTGTTATGATGACCAGTGTTGGGTTGTGTCTGTTGTTAGTTATGTTGTTGTGTTGGCCAGCATTATGACCGTGGGTTGTGTTGTGTTGGTCAGTGCTATGGGTGGTGTTATGTTGGCCAGTGTTCTAGTTTGATGTTGGATGTGGCTGTGGTTGCGGGTTGTGTTGTGATGTCCAGTGTTGTGGCTTGTGTTGTGTTTGTTGGTCATTGTGTTGTGATGGCCAGTGTGGGGTTGCGTGGTGGTTGTTGTGGATTGTTGGTCAGTGTTGTGGGTTGGGGTGGTGGTTGTCAGTGTTGTGGGTTGTGTTGTGTTGGTCAATGATGTGGGTTGTGTGGTGGTTGCGTGGGTTTGGGTGGTGGTTGTAGCTTGGAGTGATGGTTAATGTGGCTTGGGGTGGTGGTTTTTGGTTGTGGGTTGGGATGAATGTTGCTTGAGATGGTTAATGTGGTTTGAGGTGATGGTTGTGGCTTGGGTTTGTGGTTGTGGCTTGGGGTGGTAGTTTTTGGTTGTGGCTTGGGTTGATAGTTTTTTGTTGTGGTTTAGGGTGGTGGTTTTTGGTTGTGGCTTGGGGTGGTTAATGTGGCTTGAGGTGATAGTTCTGACTTGAGTCACCTGTATTAAAGATGAGGAAGGTGCTTGCGAGATGGCAGAGTTAAAGGCACCCAAGAACCCTTTTTCTACAAGGTTTACTGTCTTCTTGTAATGCAGACTGTTTCGTTGATATATTGAGTTTTCTGAGACCTCACATTTACACATAATTATAATTACTTACTTCTTTTATCAATAACTACTTATTTATTTTGTACAGTTCCTGTTTATTTTTGTTGTATAATTGATATTGATTGCTTTGGGCTTTCTACGTTATTTGTAAGTGTATTTTCTTTTCATTTATATTTCACTTGTTTTCCTTAAGATCAAATGTCTCATTCATGTATAATAGGTCATCCAGAAGAATCCTTAAGAGGTCAATGATGAGACATTTAACCTTAAGGATTCTTCTGGATGACCTATTAATCGTTGTTGGTTGGTGTTACATGTAAAATCATAATAAGTTCCTCTCTACTTTTCGGCGATATGATTTTTGAAGATCTACTGGGGTGATATACATATGTGACAGACACGAGTTTGATTTTATGTGAGTTAAAGTCAACCAAAAACTTTTTTTACAAGGTATGATGTCTTCTTGTAATAATTGATTCATTTATTGGTAAACTGAGTTATCTGAGACCTCACGCCTACAAAAAGCTGTAATTAATTACTTCTTTTAGCAATTTCAACTTCTGTTGTGACTAATGGATTGTCTTTTGTAGCATGCAGGATAGATGAGCTCCAGGATTTCAGGGACCACCCAACGATTGCTCTGTCACTGTGAACATCAGACTTCCCTACTTATGTCAAGTCACGCGCATAGCTACGGGAGGCAGTTTTACAAATGTCCGCAGAGAATCATGGATAAGTGTGACTTCTTTCGATGGGCAGATAGTCCAGCAGATTTCACTGATGACAGTGCTCGCCAATGGAAAACATCTTTGGAGAACGACGTAGCTAGTGATGTACACCGTCTGCATTTTAAAATTAATATTATTATATTATTAAATGTAATTTTAATAATTTTTTTAGTAATATTGATCTCACTGTCAGGAGAGATATTTATCTGAAATTTTGTAATGTTCTGAATTGAAGTTTTGTTTCTGAAGTACAAATATATGGCTATGACAGTTCTGTTACAATCAACATTACTATACGGGGGCAGAATGACCATTTGCCCAAAAACAACAGTCGCACAACTGTTTTCAAACAGCAGAAAACAAACAACCAACCAGTTTATCCGCAGCAGCTTCCTGGGGCAGCAGTTGCGCAACAGCTTATTGATAAGTCGCAGCTGCCCCAAATAAACCCTAAGTTGACTTCCCATAACATGTATAACAAGCTCAACATCATCAAATCCTTCTTAGAAATGGCTTTTTTGGCAATGGGTTACTAGCAATAGCCATTTGTTTTTCTCAAGAATGTTTTTTCTTATATTTATATTCTAGAAGGAATTTCCTCGGTTGTAGTATGAATTAAGCAAATAGCTTATATGCCTACTTAATAAACCATATAAAATTTTCTTGGCTTGCCAATGTGAATAAGTTCTAAAAGGATCCTGACTTGTAAGCATGACCACTATGATTGATGATGAATCAATAGGTCAATGACCTTCGCTTAAATCATTCAAGCAAGAATCAGAGTCAGCGACACTGTCAATCAAAATTTAAACTTGAAAAGCATGAAAAGATCATACTCCATTGAAAATGGGCATTCCAAGTGTACCATGGAATATGTTTAAAATGAATATTGGCCACATAAAGCGTAAGAAAGTGCATGATGGAGAAGCTGATTTGCAATCAACAAATTGGCGCTTGAAGGATCACCTTCATGATATTGATTCCTTGTTGCATAAAGTTAAACATTTATCAACAATGAGAGATCAACAAATTTATTCATTGACAACGATGAGTTCAGTGCACGTCAATTAGTATTGTTGTTTGCTAATTCTATATAAGAATCTCAATCTTTTTTGAGGTGAGGTCGGAGGTTAATGTTGTTGAGCTAAGAGATCCATCTAAGTGGTGAGCTTGATGACCTCCATAAAGATTTTCTCTACATAAAAATCTAGTATCACCAACACTAAGCCCATATGACAGAGTTAAAAATTGACCCCTGAGAGATAGAAGACAACCTAATAAGGAGGATAAAGATGTTGATTGTCAGAAACAACTTCGTATAGCAGAGAGCACAGAGGATTACTGTTAATATCAATGATGACATTAAGGGGGTGTTTGGTTGCAGAAAGGATTTAGCATTAGCAAGATTTACTAAATTCGAATTTATTAAATCTACCTTTATGTTGGATTAAATCCGGATTTAACATGAATAGAAAGGCAAATTTTGGACGTTAAATCTGAAATTTAATAAATTTATGGAACTTACGCTTTTTTATATTTGCCTGGATAAATCCTGACGATAAATCCTTTTAATAGGGAGCTACTAAACACCACCTAAGATTCTTCCAAATAAGGGATTTAAACCGCTCATCTAATTGTGTCTCAAGATAATATGTTAGATAGTTGCCACTAAGAATTAAATGGAAGTAGAAAATGGATTAAAAATAGATAAGGCATGGCTTATTTACTACTTCTTTGCAATCCTCTCATTGGCATTATACTTCCCTTTGAACAACATATTTTTGGCATCTTTTTTTTTTGTTGGCTTTCTCTCAATAACATCTCCATATTACTATCACCCATCGGATGAGATAAAAAAAGAGAGAAATTGATGACTTGGGTTGCAGATAAAAGCATGGGAGACACCCATAGATATTTTTTTATGGCAACAATCTCGTCACATTGAGAACTCCATTTAAGTTATTTTGCCTCTTCACTTATTAGTACAAAATTATGTGCCCAAATGTACATGGCTAACAGTAATTAAATAAAAAAATAATCACATTTATATAAAAACTTTTAGCTTTTAAAGAAATTTAATTAAAAACCTAAATTTAAATAGAATATAAATATTTTAAATGAAATTTTAAACGATCACTAGCAAAAAAATTGATTTATTTATTATAGATTTAAGAGACACTATATATGATATATGCCTACAGTAGTACTGACAAGTTTAAATAAGCTTATTCAAGAAAAAAAATACTAAATAACTCTTATTCCTCGATAGATAATAAGAAATAATTAGCAAAACATTTTTTATGTTAAAACTATATTACCATTGACAAATTTAAAATCTTGATTTAATTTTAGAACACTTAAGAAAGGATAAATGTTTATCCTAAAGCATACATCTAGAATTGCATGTGCATGAAAAAGACAATATTTGATTCTCCTATTCAAGTGCATGCAACAAAATACTATCATCAAAACAGATAATATAGCAAAAGAAGACACATGATAAAGACTACAGCCAAATGAGTTGGTTGCTATGTTAACAATAAAAAGCTTCCCTTACTATATTATTTGACATCTACGCTTGTTTCTATGATTCCCTCTCCAATTCTGGTGATTCTCCCAAGCAAAATGTACACTCCAACTTCTATTGATGTAGCTTTTCTTTAATTCTCCCCTAGCTCCCCCATGAACCTTTTCTTTGATTATCCTGAAGTAACATCCCGACTTTTTTTGCCACCAGTCGACATATTTTATACTTAAACAAGAAAAAACTTCAAATTCAATTCAAATCAAAAGTGTATCTTCTATATTCAATTGACTTTCCAAATAAAAAATTAAGATATATTAAGCAAGGTTGAGTAGAGCATACAACTACAACTTGCAAAGTGACGAAGAAGGCCTTCTCAAGTTTTTTCATGCTTAGAAATTGGAGGAGCAACGATCGATGGAAAATTTATCATTAGCAATTTGAACAGAATGCCTATGGATTATCCATTTCTTATTTAATATTTTCTCCTTATTTATGGATTCGTTGCCCCAAGAGTTTGGATTTCTTTCTTAGAAATAAAGAATTAGGAACTTACTTGAGTGAAATCACAAGTGGAACTTTTAGTAGTAGTAAAGGTTAATATAGTTTATGGTCTTCTCAGTAGCTTATCAAAGACTTTCAGCCTGAAAGACGCATCAGAGAATCATCTAAGTTAGAGTTCAAATTTATCTAAAACTTTGAATGCCCAAAATGGAGACGATCGATGTCGTCATTGCTAGAAACCTACCCTAGCAGAATCCCCTTGATGCTTAAGTTTGAGCTCATTGATGAAGATGGAGACCAGTTCAGGATGGCATTGCTCCTTCCAATATAATATTTTTCATCAATTTCGAATCCTATCTCCCTTTTCAAATATTACATGAGAATATATAATAGGTCAACCTCACTTCCTTTTCTCCTATTTCCTTGCATATACATTCCCTGCACCTATCGTGGAAATCCAATGAGAGGTCGCAAAGCCAGAATTTCAAGTGAACGGGGGTGAAATCATATATCTTAAATGGTATATCATTTCACAATATTCTCTTTGCTTTGGGTACCAAAATACTTATTCGTGAACCATACAATACATCACCACAAGAGGGTTTATCACAAACTCAGGCCACCACTGATTTCACACTGCCAATGGAAGTCTGCTTGCAAGACTCATAAAACAATTCCGAAAGCCACACTGGCAAGTTTTTTCTTCTCCAGCCTTAAACCCGTAAATCATCCAATAAACCTAGGCCAATATTCTAGAACGTCAAAAAATGGGCATGAAACAGAAGAAAAAGTTCTGCAAAGCATGCATCAAGGAAAATTGGTCAAAATGAAAACTGAAAAACAAAAATCTCACCATAGCCGAACACAACATCATATTCATAATTGACATTTCAACGGCCCAACTCTTTCGATCATATATTCAAAGGAAACGCGCAACCTAACACAGAAGAATCGCTACTTCTCCATTTGCATCCCAGACTAAAATCAACAGTAATAAACACAATTACAGTGAAATATAAACTCACTAAACTGCCTCAGCTCTTCAATCCTTCCCTCTTTGTGACTGGCTTGCTCTTTCCTACCTTCACGGACAATCAGCTGTGTCCCATTCAGTGGAATACGATCGGGGAAAATGAGTTAAAGACCGACGACGCCTCCCCAAGTTACAGCCCTGAAGTTATCTGGCAGCCATTCGCAAGACGTGAAAGAAGACGAAAATAATCATAGATCAAGCAGGCAAATTACCCGTGCTGATTGAAGAACGATCCTGGGAAGCCTTTTATAAACCCTAAAATTTGGGAAGGAATTGGTTGCGGCTGCTAAATAAAGCACGCTTTTTTTTTTTTTTTGGGCTCCTTTACAGATATTAGAATTTTGAAGTGGAAATTCGATTTTATTAAATCTAATTATTATTAAATATATCATAATTTTTCGTTTGGAAGGTTGATTGAATAAAAGATATTAGATAAAAAATAAAAAATCAGGTGACTTTATCCATTGAAATGATATTTTAAATAAATCAATTTATACATGCTACTTCTTCTCATACGCTAGATTAAGGGTGCATTTGGGGCAGCTTGTGCGTTTCAAGATAAGTTGTTAGTCCTAAAACGCGGTCCACGGGCGGACCGCGAGGTTCGACCCGCGACCTGCATTTAGTGTAAAAACCCAAACGCGGTTTCGGTAAGCTGGCGAAATGCGCTAACTATACGGTACGACAGCGTTTTGAAAACACCGCCCGCACTTATAAACTGCCACAAACGGGTCTTAAGATAATTTTATAGTATGGAACACAAAAATTATTTTTTTATGACTGCGATGGAGAGTATTATATATACAATGAAAATGAAAATGAAAATAACAGTTGGGCTATCAAAATAATGACTAATGATGTATGTTAGTGGAATGATTGTTGAGAAACTATAATAATTATTTGTTGTCAGGTGAGTTACAAGGGTAATTATGTGTGTAAGTGCCATTAATTTTATATTGATTAGTAATGGTTTTTTTTTTTTTTAAAGTTAACTCTTAGTAAAATTAATTATTATAATGTGTTATAAATTCAAAAAGTTTCCTGATTGATATATCGAGTTTTTTTACCGGCCTCCTTTCACAGTTAATTAGATTTTGGATGCGTTTGAGAGGGTTTTTTAGCTGCTTTCTGTTTTAAAAAGCAAATTGCGTGAGTGTGGGAGCACTCTTATTGGGTTTTTGTTTTCCATAAAATATGATTCCTAAAATAATGAATCTATGAAGGGCAATGTTGAGCTTAGTTCCTAGGAACACGTCACGTTCTGGTTAGGAAAAGAAGTCATTCTCCCTCATATTTTCTGCAAACATCTTGTTTTATGCATGATATTACCCTTGATTTTTGTTTTATCTCCTTCTTCATTGTAGGCATCATCATTAGGGCATTGAAGTGTGTGGTTTTTGCTTCTCCCTATTATTCAATGCCTCCTCTTTGTATGTATCTCAAACGATCATCATTGGTTAGGATCATACCACTGAGGTTTTTCTTGTATGTGATTGTGGGTGCGGTTCTAACTTCTCATTTTTTCTTCCCCTAACCAAACTTCCATGCTCAAATTTTTGTTTTTCTATCTTTTTCGTATTAACAATTTTGATTGTTGGTTTTGGCCTTTCCCCGTATTTGAAATTGCAGATAGTTGGGTTTCTTTGTGATTTTGGTTTTATGTTTACATTGTCCTCTCTGGTTGTGGTTTGATGGTCTTTGTTGGTTGTGGTTAGGGTTATATGGGTTGTGATTTGGGTTATGTGTTGGGTTTAATGGGTTGCAGATGTGGTATTGTGGTCTTTGATGGTTGTGGTTTGTTGTGATTGCGATTAGGGTTGCTTTGGTTGTGGTTTAATTGTTTGTGATCGGGGTTATTTGGGTTGTGGTTTGAGTTATATGATCCTTGTTGATTGTGGTTGGGGTTACACTACTTTGGGTTGTGTTGGTTGTGTTTTGTTTTGCTTTGATTGTGGTTTGGTTAGTTGTGGATGGGGTTACATGGGTTGCAGTTTGGGTTACATGGTCTTTGTTGAATGTTGTTGGGTTGCTTTGGTTGGGATTATGTTGTTTATGGTTTGGTTGGTTTTAGTTGGAGTTATCCTGGCTACGAGTTGGGTTATGTGTGCTTAGTTGATTATGGTTAAGGTTGCTTTAGTTGGTGTTATTTTGTTTGTAATTGGGATTATTATAGTTGTAGTTTTGTTGGTTGTGGTTAGGGTTATGTGAGTTATGCTTGGGTTATGTGGGTTTCGCTAGTTGAGTTTGCAGTTACTCTGGTGTAGGGATTTGTTGGTTGTGGTTATGTTTACTTTGTTTAGAAATTTTGTTGGTTGTGGATTTTGTTTACTGTAGTTATGGTTGCTCTGGTTCGAGGGTTGTTGGATGTGGTTGGGGTTGCACTATTTGTGGTTTGGTTGTACTTAGTGTTTCTCAAGTTTAGGGATTTATTTATTGTAGTTAGGTTTGCTCTAGTTTAAGAATTGGTTGGCATTGGTTGAGTTTGCTCTGACTTAAGGATTTTGTTGGTTGGGGTTATTATGATTATAGTTTAGCTCGTTGTGCTTGGGGTTGCTCTGGCCATGGTTTGATTAACTATGATTAAGAGATTGATTGGTTGTGGTTGATTTTTCTTTGGTTTATGGATTGGTTAGTTTTAGTTTAGTTTGTTTTGATTTAGGTAATTATGTTGGTTTAGGGCTTTGTTGGTTGTATTGGGGTTACTTTGGTTTATTGGTTGGGATGTTTTGCATATATACAAGTCAATCATCATGCATTTATGATTGTAATGTGGGGTTGACAACTCTAATTTTTTTAATGTTATCTTGAGCAATGATGGATAGAAAAAATAAAGACCTCAAATGATTAGCTACAGTTATTCCTATAATTTTCCACAGTTAACCACATACACTACATGGTCTTATAGTACGCATGACACAGTTAACCACATATATTGTTTAGTCTCAAAGTACAATGACACACTTAACCACAAATATTATATGATTTTAAAGCGTGTATGAAATAGTTAACTGTATATACTATATGATATTAAACCATGCATGACACAACTAACCGCAAATACTATATTATTTTTAAAGCACACACTCCACTATTAATCATATATACTACTTGGTCTAAAAGCACAGACGACACGTTTAACCACTATATGATCTAGCCTTAAAGCACAAATGACGATTAACCACATATACTGTGTGGTCTTGAAGCATATATGAAACAATTAACTGCATATACTTCCAAAGTTTATTTGATTATCAAATGCACTTGCCAGTCCGAGATGGATCAATATTTGATAGATTGAACACACTGATCTCTAGTTTGATTTATTGTCTTTTTAAAATTTAGTTTCAAAATTTTTTAACAATTTTTTTTGTTATAAGTTATATAATTTCCTCCAAAATTTTTATCTTCAAGATGCATCAAATGGAGAAACAAAATGAACTTGGTATATTGGTCATTTGGAAGAGAGAGATGAAAAGTTGTTGACCTCACTTTTGGTTGAGGTCTAGA